AACATTTTACAGAGACTACAGCCTTAGCACAAACGACATCTACAGCAGCTAATAATGATGTCAACTGCTTATGTCCGAAAGATATGTTAGGCGGTAAATGGTTATCTATGTATGAAATGAATTTGACATTGCCAGAACTGAGAAATATTATTGAGGAAGACTTTATGAAGAAAATCAAAGACAATATTGCTGTTGACAAGGGATCTTTGTCGAAGTACGTACGGAGTAAAACATCAGCCCCTGATGACAGAAAGTCATCAGCATCTTTTGGATGGCTGTCTGTCGCACTAATCTGTATTCCTGTTGTATTTTTTGTATCAATTGACCTTTTAAACGTATTTTTTAGTGAATCGAAAAAGGGGAAAAGATTGAGATCTACGAAAAGAAATAATAACCTAACCACATGTTAATATGGCTAGTCTGAGTCGGGTTTCTTTTGTCACTTGAGGCAATTTGTATTGATGGCAGATCTGTTTATTGATTCACTACTTTTCTTGATCGCGAGGGATATAGAGTTTGGTATATTATAAAGAGACCAATACTGGCAAATGTTGAAGATCGTATGTTGACCTCTATATATATGTCTTTTGATTTTTTATATTCTAAGTTTGCTGTCCTTTTGACATATGTCATACGCTTATGCTGTAATTACCCTTAACCCGGAAACAAAAATATTCTTAAATATTTTCAACAAATCAAAATATTTTACAGTAGGTCTTCTGATTGGATATATAGTAAGGCAATACATATTTTTGGAGATGTAGTATTTTCATAATTGAGGGAAAATACACAAATATTGAACTTATCCTTATTTGTAATGGGAAAAAAATCATTGAAATTTGTATTTCATTGAAAGGGATACACTGCAACATATTATTTTAAACGGAATGGTTATAATTGTTCAGATTTTTTAACTTCAAACATAGGTGTAAGGCAGGATGAAATACTGTCGCCTCTCGTTTTTTGTGTCATTTTAGCTGACTCTGCTGCTGAATTACAGACCGTTTTTTGAATGCAATGTATTTATACTGTGAAAAATGGAAATTTGATGTAAATACAGGCAAAACTAATGTTGTTATATTTTCCAATGGCAGACAGGCTGAAAATGTTCAGTTTTTGTACAATAATCAACGTTAAATGTTATTGATGCATTTCAATATTTTTGGAATATTCTGTAGAAACAATACCTTTCATAGCGATAATTCTAGTCTAAGAAGTCTTGCACAAAAAGCCAGAAAGGCTATGTTTTATGAATTGCGTAAAGCAAGAACGTGCTTACCAATAGATATTTCATTGAGGTTATAAAAACACGTAAAATTAAATCTTTGCCTTTAGAAATTGTAGTAAATATATAATGAATGTTAAAAATTGTACAACTAATTGCATTGTTTATGGAGTAACTATGTCTGTTTGTATTAAAGCAAGAATAGTTGAATTTTGGGAACTTATTGTTACGGGTAAAAAAGAGAACATTTCTGATAGACTGTATGAAATGCTGTATATATTTGATCGATGTGATGTTTGTCATTGTAAATAGTTAACTGGATCTCAACATTGATGACTTGAAGTCTACACCTATGCTAGCTCGTCATTCGTATATAATCCGGCATGCAACTTTATTACAGGCGATCTGAACACTGTCAATAACACTTTTCTGCGAAATGTGTTATTCAAAGGCCCGAAATATCGTGAACCTAAATCCACCAATAGGAAACACAACTTTAAAATACTGATGACTTTAGACTAAAATAGGATTATGCCTGACAAACGACTAAACGTGAAAAAGAAGACATATATGCTCTTTCCGAATTGGTTAAGGCTGTGATGTCGTTGATACGAATTATAATTAGAAAAACTAAATGGGTCTATGAATACACACGTAACATCGATCTTCAAAGACCCAAACCTTGCTTATTACCTGTCCTCCCTCCATGACAAATATTGTATTGTCCCTGCAGATAAAGCCCTAATCCACATCGTTTTTGTGTGTAAATCACATTGCATAAACTGCTTGATAAAGGAATTTGGTATTAACAATTCACCCGGAAACTCAACGTATAACTCCGATACACTTACCAAGGAGGAAATCCTGAATAATCATAGGTATGCAATAATTGGCATTCCCATGGGAACCAACCGTGCTCCTCTTCTTGTCCACTTCATACAGGAGCTTCTTAGGAAAAGTGAAAAAAAGGTAGCATTATCATTTTACTTCACGTTCCGCTGTATAGAAGATTTCCTCTCACTAAATAAATCAAATTTTGGTGACTATGTTGAACGTACATATCCCATCGAACTTGAAATAAAGGAAACAGATACAGCTAAGTCAGATTCATATCTTGACTTTTTTTCATTTTCTAGATTGGATATTTCAGTTTCGCACAGGAAACTCTTTACTAAAATTTACGATAAATAAAGGCAATAGTAGTATACCGCTGTTCAAAAGTTTCCTAAAAGTATTGTCCTTTTTGGATGGTGATGTTCCACTCTCTGCTGTGTGTATTTACATTTTAGATTTCAGTGATCGTTATCAATGTATAACTGGTAAATTTTTAAGTCAGGAATTTCTTTACTTTGTTAAAACGAACTACTTAAAGTTTTACCAAATTATTTCATGGATACACAGATTTAGTTTAGAAGTTTGACACTACCTGAAGAATTCATATATAAAATGGGAAATCACATCCTAATTAATTATTTTATCTGTACTACCATGGATTTTTTCATAAATAAATTAACACATAACTAAATATTTTTTGCTATACAGTCATGTAAACTTATGAGCCTACATCATGTGTATAATGTTTACTATTATTTTGGCATTGCACAAGGTTAAGTTTATGAGAAGGGTTGAGCAATCACACACATGTCCTATAATCGTAGTTATTAGCAGTTCTTGTCTGTAATAGAATAGAGAATGGAAACGGGGAATGTGTTAAAGAGACAACAACCCGAACGAAGAGCAGAAAACAGCTGAAGGCCACCAATGGGTCTTCAGCGTGCCCCTAAACAATAATGAATATTCTTCAGCAAAATGGACGCCACACTTAACTCCGAAACAAAAAAAAAATGATCCAAAATTCCATTATATCAAATTTGACAAAAAAAATATATTCCGGTGAACCATGTCAGTGGTTTTGTATTCTATTGAAGAAAAAAAAAACAAATCCCCGGTGCCATTGGTGAATTGTGACCTTTGAGATAAACATTTACCTAACGAACATCCAATGGAAATGCCGCAATTGCGTAAAACGTTGCGCGTAAGTCCGACCAAAATAACTTATTTTTCGTATCACTTATTCATATCTCCTTCTGTTCAGTAATAGTGTAATACGAGACATTTCTCTTCTTGCGGTAAATAAGTACCAGGCCAAAACCATAAGACAAATTGTGAATAAATTCAAAAGAGACAACAAATAATTCAAGTTTTGTCCAACGCATAATTTCGCTTAGATAAAAACTACTTAATTATTTAAAAGACAAAAATTTGACAAGGTTCCTGGCTGTACATTATCGGTACTAGGCTTGGAAAAGAAATCGCATTTAAGCATGTTTTAAGAATTATGATTTGCAGTCATATTATAGTGAAACTGATATCGACAAACACTTTCTACGCATTAGTACATTGTTCCAATGCTTAAGTACAAGGAGATTGACCAAAGCAAATGAAATTCATAGGAGACCAATTTACTGGAGGCCTAAAATAGTTCTGTCAACTCTTTTTTGCTATATACTATACCATTCACTAAAATACAGATTTTCATCTGTGTATTATCAATTAAAACTCACTGAAAATTATACTCAAATATAGAAAAGTGGATTAGATATATTCAATCAGCCAATCAGCAATACGTTTAAAACAGGTATCAACATATCAGAAATGCTCCTCATAAAGACGATGCAGTGATATTGCCTGGGGAAAATGACATATAAACTGAAGATCATTTACATACTTATTTTATTCCTGGCCATGTCAGACTCAATCTAACATACAATTTAAAAGCTGTTGTCGATAATGCGTACGAGGATAATCATTAAAATAATAAAGGTATAAAAAATTACGGATGTACCATTATTCAGTCAAATTAAGGTTTAATGGGTTTCAAAAAAATTTCTATGACAGTAAAATAAAAAGCGTAAGAGATTGAACCTGCGGATACGGAAATTCATTAAGAAATACTTTGCTTTGACTCAAACGTTTTTATCATCCCGTTCCAGAGCATACTGATTTACGTCCGTCTTTGATTCCGTCTATCCTTTCGTCCGTTACATACAATTTTGGTTGCATAATATCTGGCTCTACAAATTAAAGCATCTTGAAATTTGGTATAATACTTCATTCGAGCATGCCATACTGGGTGTTGCATTTTATCGCTAATCAACTGCATGTTTACCAAATACTTATGAATTCGTTCACATAATGGCCATTTATGAAATGTTCCTCGCATTATTTCTAAGGAACTGCAAGGCTTTCTGAAATTTTGAATCAACTTTATACCGTGTGATGCGTTATAACATTAACCACTCATAAGTAAGTAATAGCCAACAGCTCAACTTGTACTTAATATATTTAAATAGCAATACTCAAGGCTAGATATTTTGACATCCAAAGATACTCATATATATATATATATATATATATATATATATATATATGCGGACAACTAATTTGGCTACAAATAAAGTCACGCTGCCTTAATTGTGCAATTTATTTTACATAATTATAATTAACAGAAAAATAGTAGCGTCTAGTAAAAATTGACATCTGAAGTTACATCTTGTAGTTTTAATTGAAGATAATCTAACAAAAATAGACAGGTTATTAACATGCTTGTCAAGTTATCATTTTGTTTATATATGTAATGAAAAATAGTTTGCACTTTAATAAATAAAGAGTAAATATACAAAATTATCAATATATGTGCGTTTTATTAATTGTATAATAAAGTATTATACACTGATCTTGTTCGGCGTTTCCGTTTCCCCCCCCCCCCCCCCCCCCCCCCGTTAAGTTAAGAAAGACGTACTGCAATGACTCTTTCACATTTTTCTTCAGTTTCAAGGTTCTTTATATGTTTCGATGTTTTCACTTTGTGTTTCTTTGGAATCACAACTTGGCACTCTCATTTGTGCCATAACTTCCAATACCTTCACTATTTGGCGATGTCACAACAATTTTATTATGTCACATTTTCGGACGTATAGACCTTAAAATTAAGAAAATTTATTCTCATGAACAAATATTTTAAATAAAACTGAAAACGAGTATTACATTTCTAAAACTTAATGTCACTCTCGGTCCCCCTTAGATGAAGAATAAGACATGTTAGATCCATGACTGTCATAAACAAATATCTGGTGTAATACCTACAATATAAATATAAAAATAAGATGAATATAAAGAGAAAACATATAATTGATTACAAGCTTTGATGGCGTATATTTCATACTGACATATTTTTGAACTAGTTATTTCGCTATTTATCTAAATGGTGACATTTTGTCTTGTTGAGATAAAAGGTAGAATAACAAAAATACCGAACTCCAAGGAAAATTCAAAACGGAAAGTCCTTTATCAAATGGCAAAATCAAAAGCTCAAACACATCAAACGATAAATTTTAACATCAAGTATATATGTATACGTGCATTATGTATCTATTTGAAATTAATACAAGGTTTTTGTAACAAATGATCTATACCGGAAGTCCTTCACAATATCATTGTACTTTAGTGATGCCAAAAAACGAAGAAAGAAAAGCGTAATTGCGTCATCGACGAATGGAACATATCCGTGTATTTTACAAAGGTCAACCTAAATCATGAAGGTGTCAATAAACATTTCGGAAAGATTATTTCAACTAGAATTATCCTTGATTCAGTGGATTTCTTTAAGCTGCAACTGTCTATCGATAAAATATTGATATGAAACGCAAGTCATGGAATATCGGATTTACTTGGAGATAAATTCTCAATATGTAGTTGATGCTGAAATGTCGTTCAAAAAAATTCAAGGTTCCCGATAAAAAATCATGAGAAAAATCTCAGTTCCCATAAAGATAAGCTTTTAATCGACCCTCACTGTCGAAGTTATTGGGGACGCTGTCATGATTAGGTAAATCTTTGTAGAATATCTGTGTCACAGATGACCACGGCAATGTTCCATTCATTGTAGCCACAATCCCGTTCATTCTAGTTCATCACAAAATATGCGACGTATCACCAGATCTTTAATTGCGTTGTGCAACGTGATGGATGTCAAAAAATAAAGAAAGACTTGCTCATATGTCCAGTGCACCCGAGGGCACACCGGCTGTGATGGTGTTCATGTCGCTAAATATGAAGCCTGATGTGGGGTGTGTGTTTGAACTGTTGTTTGCCTGTTCGTATTCGAGTTTTTCTTTTGGCCATTGTGTTGTACGTCAATCTCCGAGTCTTTGTTTCCATTGTCCGCTTGATATATCAACCTTATTACTGTATATTTAATTCCATTCAAGTTTATCTGATACCACAATAACTAGTTTTACTTTATCTGGTGTATAAAGTGATTGTTAGGTTTATAGGTTTGTCTGTTAGTGTTCATATGTTCATCTGACCTTGATGTCTTTCTATTGGGAATAGGTCAATCATTTGTTCTGTACAGCATTTTCAATAACATATCGCTGTAAAGTACACTGCATAGATGTTTTTATTTTATTGAAACCGGTGTTCCTTAAATATACTGATAATCTAATAACCCGTATATACATTGTACAATTTCCTGGAAAAACATCACATAAAACTCATCAATTTCACGCCTTTCTACCTAAAAACGGTTGTAATCAAATTTCATTGATAAACTATATTTGTCAAAGACTCCATGATTTAACAATAATAAGATCATCCCAGCTGATGCGGTATTACCGGATGTAATTTCTCTCGAATCTTAATAATAAGTGATATTCCATTGAACATTCCTTAAAAAGGTAAATTTTTGCATATAATTCTTTTTATATTCATTTCATGTATTATTGTCTCGTTTCATTTCCCCATTAAGAATAAAAGTACAGCAAATTTAGATAAATTCTTATGCAATGAAGGAATTAATATAATAGTATCTTATACGGCTTGGTCTCTGCAATCATTGGACAGAAGAGTATAAAAATGATAGCCAGTTTTGCTACAAAATGCAAATGTTTTATTTGTGTATAATCATTTTCGTTACCAAACATAACCCTTGATTATAACGACATTTTGAATGTTAACTTCTGCCTTATGTAAGATACAGTAACAAACCAGTTCTATAAAGAAAGGTAGTCTAATATCAAAAATCCATTCACAAATAAACATGGACGGAAAAATGAATTACTGAACTCCAAATATAACGAGAGCAGCGACCAACCACGAACAAACTAAAAGTCGAAATCAATCGGAATCATAAAACTCCACACAGAGCGAACAAATACCAATGTTTATAAAGGTGAAAATAATCGGACTACAGAAATTTAAACAGAGCAATTGAAGTTACCAGGCATCTATAAACATGGAAGGGACAATTATTATAATACAAAAACTCCAAACAGAGCGGTAACAGTGACCAGGCACAAATATATATATATATATATATATATATATATATAAACAGTCCACAGAACTCCGATCATAGCGAGAGCAATGACCATTCACAGATTAACATGAAGATGAAAAACCGAACTAAAGATCTCTAATCATAGCGAGAGCAGTGACCAGGTATTAAAATAAACATGAAGGTGAAAACACCCGGAAGACATAACTTCAAAAAGAGTGAGAGCAGTGACCAGGCGCATGCAAAAATGAAAGTGAAATCAATCGGTATCGCAGAACTTGAAACCGAGAAAGAGCTGTCACGATGGAAATAAAAATAAAAGTGAAAACAATCGGTATCACAGAATGTCAAACCGAGAGAGAGCTGTAACCATGAAAATAAACAAAGCTGAACACAATCGAAATCACAGAAATCAAAACAGAACGAAAGCACAAACTAAACTTGCATAGTATAAAATCAATCGGATCACATAACTCCAAAAAAATCAGTCAGAATTACAAAACTCCAAACAGAGCGAGGGCAGTAATCAGAACCAGAAAACATTGAGATAAAAACAATAAAAAAAAAAACAGAAAGGTCTGTAGCAATCGGAGTCATAAAACTCAGAATAGAGAGAAAGTAGTTGCAATGCAATGTCGGGTCAACAATCAAAAGTCCAGGCACAACAAATATTATCATGAACATAATCGGATTCACGGAACTCCAAATCGATAGTGATCAATTTGTCAAAACTACTATCAATATGAAATTGTAGTAGATAAGCGGATATTTAGAGTTCGAACCAAAATATCTGAAAGAATATGGAGTAAGAAAAAATGCCCTTTTTTATATGTTCACCGTGTTTCATATATAAAGACGATGGAACTTAAAGCTTTTTAGGAAAAAAATAGTGTGCAATGCACTATAAAATTTAGTATTTGTGTACAAAACTTACAAATTTCTGGCCTGGTAAAAGAATCTGATACACGTTCAAATGTTCTTTTACTGTGTTGATGTTCGCAAGCTTTCACACAGTCCTGGTATTCGCCGATCATTGACATCAAATTGTCTCTAAGAGGTATTAATCTATTGTACCGTTCGGATGCAGCAATAAGGGATTTTACAAAGGATTCGAATGTCATATCTGAAATAAAAAAATAAACCAACACTTTAAATAGACAATGATGATATCGTTTCAGAAACAATTATATTTAATAATGGCTATTTAATTGGAGTACACAAGTATGACGTATATTTTAATGGCGCATTTGAAGTATCTTAGTGCATTTTATCGTCTAGAGTTTGTTATAAAAACACAAGAAACAATGCCATATGTTTTATATATTCAAATAAAATTTGAATTGAATTAAACTGACAATGATGATATTACATTTCTTTCCTTTTTATATCTTGACAAAAATTAAATTGTTTTGTTATAAATTAGGCCGTTAGTTTTCTCAATTGAATTGTTTCATATTTTTCATGTCGGGGCCTTTTATAGACGACTATACGGCATGGGTTTTTCTCATTGTTGAAGGCCGTACGGTTGCCTATAATTGCTCACATCCACTTTTTTTGAACTTTGGTGGATAGTTGTCTCATTGGCAATCATACCTCATCTTATTTTCATATTCAACAGATGGTAATAACATCAGAAAATATAATCTTTGCATAAATCTTGAGAAATAGCTTTCTGTATCGCTTCTTGTACATCCATGGCTTCCATATATTCGGCTTTGAGTCTTCCTGATGAAGACAAATCAAGAAAAGCGTGTCAGACCAATAAAAGTTATAAAGTTTTGATTTCATTTTTATCTAAAACCTGAAGATATTTAAACACCATATTTGAAATTAAGTTCCTCTATCGGAAAAGAACTTGCAACAACTGAGTTCGCTATCTAATTGTTCATTAGCACGAACAAGTGTCATACAGTGTCATACATATAAATAACATTCCGTTTTGAATTTCCCTTGGAGTATTTTTGTTAATTTACTTTCTATACATCAATAAAATGTAAATAGTAGTTATAATACGTGATAAAGTGACTTAACTGTCAATATATTTGATATATTACTTCGGTTAAAGTAAATCTGGCAGTTTCTGTAAACTTTCAGTTAATAAAATTTTGAATTATTCGAAAACCTATCTTTTTTCTCATCAGGCATAGATGGCTTTAGCCGTATTTAGCATAGCTTTTTTGGAATAATTGGCTTTTAACTTCGTGTTTTAATTATCCTTTCAATTGTTTATTAGAGCGTTACTGATGATTCTAATGCAGACGAAATGCACGTCTGGTGTAACAAATCATAACCTAGGCATCTTTGATGAGGTTTTACTAAAGGTTGAGACGTCCCGCGAGCGACATAAGTTATCATACATAAGTTACACTTAACGTAGGATTCGAACTTATCAGACATACTTATAATGTATTGCATAGGTGTGATGGAACATTGTTCAACATTCTCCTGTCTAACAGATGAATTCTCAATAACAAACAATAAAATGTTAAATATGTCCAAGCTACAATCCCTAATGCATTATGTCTGTTAACCAATGTTGTATCTTCAGACTCCTCAAATTAGACAAAGTAAATAATACGTGTTACATCTCATTAAAACACTCCTATTGTCCTTCTAAAATTGAAAAAATATGCACAGCAGTAAATGTCTGCAAAAATTTTTTTATGGCGGGGAATAACTTGAACTTTATATTTTTGTCACGAAAGCATTTTGTGGAAGACATTTCTTATTAAAATAATTTGTGAAAAGTTGTTGGCAATAAACATTTACATTTAATCTATATAAAACGTTTAATGCACAGCATTCTGATCTCGTGATTGCCTTATTAGCTGATTTGTTTTGTCTGATCTCAATTTAACTTCTTTGTCCTTGAAATTTTTTAAACATTTCTTTTTCAAAGAGAAAATGACTGCAATTAAGACACTGTGATAATTCTCTTCGTATTAAGAGACAGTTTTAAAGCAAGCTGGCTACTACTAAATGGAAATATGTTGTATGTATTCTTATTGTTATCCCTTGTTCTTGTACCATTTCATCGAACACAACTGTCTTCTATGCAATTGATTATCGTCGCTTAAAATTTTCCTATTACATAATTCCTCACAGGAAAATACACAGTAAGAGATAATTCGGATGGCAGGAAGACGGCTATTTCTTAAAAACTAATCCACACCAAAACACGATTTTTGTCCTGCATGAAATTCATCTAACATTTAACTCGTTCACAAATTAAAACAAGCAATGTTTGGATACGAAAAACAGAAAAGGGAATATTAAGATAGTTAAATGATCATGTGGAGGTAAACAAATTGTTTTATGGCATGTGAAAATTGAGTTGGGTCTTGTTTATCTTTTTAATTACTACATTGACAAGTCGACAGACAAGTATTGTTACCATTTTGCACTTGTTAAAATGCTCATAACGTTATTATGTATTTATACATCCCTTTGAATGTTTGGGTTTGACCGTTCCTGAAGAGGATAAATCCAGAAAGGCGTTTTTGGGTACACGAAATGTATCAACTTATTATCATCTTTTGTATTTTCTTGTAAAATATAGGGTCTGCAGTCCGCTATATACTGCATAAACTAGTGTCAATTACAAAGTCTTCAACCACTGCCTAAATGTTATTTCTATTTTTAAGGTTTTGATTTCAAAGTTTACTCAATTACAAAAGAAAGGCGAAATATACAAAAGGGATAAGCACTCTCATAAGTCGAAAACAAACTGACAATCAATGCCATGGCAAAAACAAAAAGACATCCCAGGATGTCAATTAAAACAATTTCGATTAAAAGACAAACAACAGTATACTAAACACAACACAGAAAACTAAAGCCCGAGCAACACGAACCCTTCCAAAAATCGGGGTCGATACAACATTCGATAATGATTGATTGATGATTGTTTGATTGATAGATAGAATTGAGAATGAAAATGGGGAATAACTGCATTTATCATAAAATTGAGAGTGGAAATGGGGAATATGTCAAAGAGACAACAACCCGACCAAAGAGCAGATAACAGCCGAAGGCCACCAATGGGTCTTCAACGCAGCGAGAAAATCCAGCACCCGGAGGTGGTCCTCATCTGACCCCTAAATAAAATTGTGTACTGGTTCAGTGAAAATGGACGTCACACTAAACTCCAAAACATATAAAGGAACTAAAATTAAAAAAACACAAAAGACTAACAAAGGCCAGAGGCTCCTGACTTGAGACAGGCGCAAAAATGCGGCGGGGTTAAACATGTTTTGTGAGATCTCAACCCTCCCCCTATACCTCTAGCCAATGTAGAATAAAGAAACACATAGCAATACGCACAGTAAAACTCTGTTTAAAAGAAGTCCGAGTCCGATGTCAGAATAGGTAACAAGAGAAACTAAGCAAAATGACAATGATACATAAATTAACAAAGGACTACTAGCAGTTACTGACATGCCAGCTCAAGACCTCATTAAACTGATTAAAGATTATGTCTTCATCATATGAAAATCAGGTACAATCCCTCACGTTAGGGGTTTAGTATCATACCATCATACAATATATGAGAAGACCATAACCCGTATCATGCCAACAACTGGTTTTAGAATAAATGTGTTTATTTCCGATGCAAAGACCCTATGAGTGAATCAATATTAATACCAAAATATGCCATCTTTAATGATCTGACAACAGTATCGTAACTATATCCCTTCAGAATAAGTCTGTTTAAAGGTTTGTTAGCTTTTGAGGTGAATGTCGACATTTTTGTGCTTTGTATAGAATATTACCATAAAAGATTGGATGTGAAATACCTGAACGTATAAGATGTCTGCATGTTGATTTATATTTACGAATGATGTCCTTGTACCGATGATAAAATTTAGTAAATTTTTTGACTAGTTTGTGATATCGAAAACCCTGGTGTAATAATTTTTCAGTAATACAGAGGTTTCTTTCGTTAAAATTAAATACGTTGTTATATACACGAGCGAATCGAACAATTTGATATATATAAACACCATAAGATGGTGACAAAGGCACGTCACCATCTAAAAATGGATAATTAACAATAGGAAATGAAAAATAATCTCTTTTATCATAAATTTTGGTATTAAGCTTCGCGTTAAAGATATAGGTATCAAGATCCAGAAATGGGTAGTGTTCATTGTTAGTATTAGCTTTATTTCAAGTCAGTTCAGCAGGATAAATCTCTTTAGTGTACATACTGAAGTCGTCATTATTGAGAGCCAATATATCTTCCAAATATCTAAAAGTGTTATTAAATTTTTGTATCAGATGTTGTTTCGATGGGTCTTTGCTGATTTTAGTCATATATTGTAACTCATAACAATACAGAAACAGGTCCGCAATAAGTGGTGCACAGTAAGTCCCCATTGGAATTCCGATAACTTGACGATATACGGAATCTCCATAGCGAACAAAAATGTTATCTAGTAAAAATTCAAGGGCAGTTATTGTATCAAAGCAGGTCCAAATGACATAGTTCTTTTGTCTGTTGTTACTAAAAAATGACCTAAAAGAGTTAGAACATATATATTCGCATTCTGACTTTTAAAATGCCCTTTTAATTAGGTGTGGGAATTTTTTCTTAATAAGATTATGAGGCAAAGTGGTATATATGGTAGAAAAATCAAAACTTTGAACAGATTCGAAATCACCAATATAAGCATGCAATTTATCAAGTACCTCCAACGAATTTTTAACACTCCAAAAGTAATTAATTCCACTATTTTCAAAAGCCTTATTTGAACATTTTTTTACCAGGTTTTTGATTGTACCAAGTGTACTAGTAAGTAGAATAGACAGTTTAGTAGTGGAACAATGGCTTGAAGACAAAATAAATCTATATTTGTAAGGTGTTTCGTGCAGCTTCGGAAGCCAGTACATAGTTGGGACTTTCATTGTATTTGGTTTTGCTTATAAAGAGGTAGCTAAAAGTTTATGTTTGTTACAGATGTCATTTTCCAAAAATGGAGTCAGTTTGAATGTTGGTGAATTCGTGATTTCCTTTTGCAGAACCTCAATGTAAAATTTACGTCAAACAATAATGATATTATTAGCAGCCTTATCAGCCGGGACAAAAACAAATTCCCTGGCAAGTTCTTTTAGATTATGTTT